TCCTTTTTTGCTTCTTGAATTAATAGTTTTTTTTTTTTTTTTCTATCTTTCTCTTGTTTTTTTGACCAATCTATCCCTAAGCAATGAACGTAACATTGAACTATTAACGGGGCTTGTAGTGACATGGCCCTGAATCTATAACCTTTCCAGAAAATGGAAGAAGACATGAGTTCGAAGATGAATGAGAGCATCTTGATAGAGACCAGTAACCGCATCAACTCTCATGAGTCACGAATGTTCCAGTATGTTCCTATTTGCGATTTGTCTTTTTTTCTCAGATTTTAATGGCACTTATGTCTCAGAAAAGATATTGCCATATACGAGCACGAGGTCAAAGAAATGAAGGAAAACTTAAGAGTTGCGAGGACTCGACTTGTCAGCCGAAGTTAGCAAACGAATAGAAGCTGTAAGTTGTTTGGCCTGTTGCACATTTTCTAGTTTCTTTTGATTTCTCTTTCAATCAATTTCTTCCCTGAGAGCGGATTCTGCTTAACGTATTGTGCATTTACAGGTTATCAAAATTGATGTTCATAATTTAGGAAGATATCCTTAGGAGGCGTGCTATTGAAATAGAAGAAATTGAGCATAAGCTGAAATCGGCCAACGACACCGTCAGCAGGCTCCAAGAGAAGGTATTCAGATCATTCCAAGTCGTTCTCAATTTTGTTCAACCCCAATTTGTACAATCTTGTAGACCTACGGTCAGTTATTCACAGCAATCATTTACCCTAATATTTGGGAAAAGTTTACTTGCTTTGTTGTCGTATATATCATACGTACCAATTTTTATTTGTGTTATCTTTTCAGCTAATGGAGAAAGATCAGAAGATCACACAGCTTGGATCCGAAGTCAGCGCAGCCAAGTTTGAAGTCTCTGTGTTAGAGACGAGACTCGCCAAGGTAACCACCTCACTGTATTGTTGCGTATGAACTTGGTTTGCTTGATTTTTTTCTTCCTGAAGGGCCCTTTCACAGTCGTTCGTGATGATCGAGATCGACGTGTGAGAACTCGTGTCAGAGCGCCGGCGAGTTTTCATCAGACCCTCAACAGCCGTTCAGAAATAAATATGTAAACTAAGAGTGCCGGAGGGTATGACCATCAACTGGCGGCACCACTGCCCCCTTGCGCGCGAATGTGCAGGGGGATTAGCGGACTCGTACGACACCAGCCTACAGCGCTGCGCGACTACTTTTAGTCGGAGCGACCACCTATGAAGAGTGTCCTGTGGAACATCTGTATTGCGGAAGGTTCGTTGATTCATGTGTTCTACCTTCTAGTTGTCGGTAGTGATCTTAGGCGTTTTTTTTTGCTAATAACTAAATGTTTTCGTCCACAGCCTTTTTTCTTGTGAGAGTTGCAGAGTCGTGGTCAAGACTGGTGAGGAACTGCATCCGTAATAGCAACACTCTTCCATGCGAAGTCGCGTCATTTGAAAACTATCGCTTGTGAAAATGCAAGAGACATACGAAGAGGATGAACAGTGAAGACCAGAATGAATGACTAAAAGCGGAGAATTCGAGGTGGTTGCAAGACATATTCTTGCGCGTCTTTACATCGTTAGGCCTCCATTTTCTTCTTGATGTAATAGTAGTAAGAAGTCAACGTTGATGTTTCAGTAGCGTCGTAAGTTTTTGGAGTCGAATCTTGTCAGTCACAATTTATCGACCTCTCATAATCTTATCAACGCGTTCCAATCGTTATCTTCTCAGATAGAGACGATTCAGAAGACCAACCTATCGGTTGAGGTACATTTTTTTCAGTGCAGTCGACTTTTATAAGTCCCATTTTACGTCTTAATCCTATACCAATTCTAGTGTCTCGGAACAAAACTCACTTTTGCTTTCACGTCAAGCCCCATTTTTACGTCTTCTCAGAATTTGAAATCATCGTGGGAAAACCTGGCATTCTTGATTATATTTAATCGCTGACTGAACGGTCAGTATTTTCTTTTATATTTTCCTATATGATCTACTTTGTAGATGACACTATCCAGCCAGCCTCTGCCAACTTTAATTGATGCTTTTCTTTTCAAAATTGAAATTTTCGAACAATCCTAGTCTACTTATGGAGTGTTACGAAGGTCAAGGAAGAGATAGCGAGGTTTCCTCATGTTGAACTGCACATCCTGTCTATCTAACCGCTGTCCTCTTAACGCGCTAACTCCTTAACGCGGCTGTCTGCCCTCCTATTGTTTTGTCCCATTGGATAAACTCTGAGGCAATCCCCAGGCCTTGTTTTGACATCGCTAGACCGTCCAACAACTCCGAAAACGGCTCTCCTTGAAAAGGTGCAATTTGTGATAAAGTCAAGTAGAGCACAGTTTGAGATTTTGCACGACTAGCACCACTGCTAATAGTAAACTGCGATCACCGATCTGTCAATATCGTAATGGAAGGAATGAAAGCCTTGTTGACTTTTGAAACATACTTGCGTTGATAAAACAAAGCGATTACGCTGGTCTATCATTGCTCCAGTAGTGGTTGGTCAGGTCACAATCAATATTGTCTCATGCGGTGTTGAGTTGCTTGCGGTGAGTTAATGGCAGTGCAACGTAACCATAGGGCAATCTTCCTTTTTTCGTGACTCCTGCTGTCACCCTCCATAATCTTTCTCCCTTTCAATGTTTTTCACTGTTTGTGTTGTTTTCGAACAACTAACCGATTATTTTAGCAAGTAGCTGACATCCAACACAAGATCGGAGAACTCACAGCTACTAATAAACATCTGGAAGAGAAGGTTATGGAATATGAGGAGAGGGAGAATACTCTAGCAAAGGTAACTATTGTTGTGAAGCTGTATCGTAGTTGTCAAATGGTATCGCCATATCTTTCGGATAAGTTGGAGTTTTACCTGTGTCGTGTCTGAGTAGCAGAGGCTTTTCATAATACGTTTGTTTATCTTCTCATTTTTCATATATTTTTATCTATACTAGAGTTCTTCCACTTGGCTAGATGTCCCCAGAAATCTTTTTCTACACATTGTGAGACAGTGGTACCAAATTTTGTTGACGATTGTGTTGTGAAATTTTGATCTTGCCATGTGTTATATTAGGGTGGTTGGGGCCCATGGCATTGGAGGGGGGGACGCTCAAAACGGCATTTGAAAACCGCTGATAAGTGAAACTATGTTGGTCTAAGCCCAGGACAGGGGAAACACTAGGGTGAATAAGAATTGCTGACATCCCCCCTCTCCCAGGATCCCTTTTCCTGTCCGAGGCTTAGTCTGAAATACTGCAAGTGGCGGAGGGGTGTGTAAGCAATTTTTTATATCTCCCGAGAGTCCCCGTCCTCCTAGTCTTAGTCCGCATAGCGACGTCCCCTCTCAAGCACAACGGCGAAGTGAGGGTAGAGATTTATTCCTCAAACACCTATAATTCTGATCTCACCATGTCCAATTACCGCCTCTTCAGCAGCGTGCAGCGCTTCCTGCACGGAAAAACCTTAAGACAGAGTTATAGTTGGTTCTGTTCGAGCTTTCGAGATTGGTATAATCTTTATTTCGACTTACGTTTCGGCGCACTCGCCGAAGACAGGCAGAGGATGAGGTCAAGGGGTACTCGACGACTTGTTCAATTTACCGTCTTCTTAAGTGAAGGAATCAATGAGCTGCTGAGCGTCGAATGATAGATGGAGGTAGTGCATTCCTCACCCGGACCAATGCTTCCTCAAACTATCTGCAGGAAGAGCTAGGAAGTGAAACTTTCCGATCGTATTATTTCGTATTTTCTTATATTCTACAGAAATCAGTCGGATCGTCGGTTTGGTAGTCCTAGGTCGCATCGGACTGATTATGGGATTAAAATCACCCGCCATTTGATAAGGCCGGCCCCGTTTAGTTCTAATTTGAAACTATTCGCATCACCCTCACACTTACTATGAAGCTTGTGTTTCCTTTTCACAGCTTTCTTGTTTAGCAGTTGGCCGAGGCACAAGGTAATGCTGAAGCGGCTAAAGCAGAACTAGTAGAATTGCAGAAGAAGCTTGTTGAAATCGAGGGTAGCTCATCACTAACGCATCA